TTCTTACGCAGCCTACGAATGAAGGAGACCACGTTGGACCCATTCCTTGAAGTTACATTCTGAAGCGAAGGGAATTTGCAGCCTGAAATGGTACGGAACGCACAGTTTCTGCGGCTTTCCTCATAGACAGGGGAGCAGTGCATGGATCTTGGATTCATTTTCGTGTTCAGCAGATTCTCTAAGCCCAATATGTTGAATTTGATCATTGGGAATTGATTAGAAAAATCATGGCCAGCCAAAGTGTCCCCTCCTGGTATGTATAATTCACATATTTCTGGAAAAACATGAACAGAAACATTAAAATTAATTTTTATTCATACCTGAATATTATATAAATACCAATAAAACCATTACCTGTGCTTTAGTCATGCCTGTAATGAAAATAACAAATGTTCGAGTGGGGGGAGTCATCGATACTCCAGAAATCACAAACTCTGTTCGCAACAATCCCAGCACAATAGCATGCTTCTTCGCCACATCACAGTAGCCTATTAATCCTCCAGGATTAATTTCAAACTTCTGGCCAAGGTATTTTAATCAGAATTTCCGTAATTAAACGAAACTTCATACCAGCCATATGTGCTTATTATATTTCAATCAGAATCTGAAACAGAAAGGTATATGATTAATTTCCTGCATTTTAGGGCTTTTGCATGAACCATTGCCAATGGATGAGTCGTGGGCATTCGACTTTTAATAATAAAATCGGATAAACAGGCAGCTGTGCGTACAATAGTCAGGGAGTGGCGAACTCCATGAATGACGAACACTTACATTTAATCGTCCCTGTATCGCCAAGAAGTCCATCCTACCAGTTCCTGTCCTCCAGCTAGAAGCACTGCACATCTTTTATTTTTTGAATGGCTCGACCTCTTTCATTCATTGTTCAGTAACTTCGAACAACATCCGAAACCGAGCAGAGGCACGCGCCTGTTGTGTGACCCAACGGGAGGTGAGGTAGCTGCAAGAAATACAGGTGGAATTTGAAATTGAAGGAACGTATAATAGACCAAGGGGTGCTTTTGTACAACATTTAAACGATACGGCGTTACTGGTTGCTACCATTGTACTTGCCGATTATGTATAAACATCCTGGCTGTTTCGAATTATCTTTTGTGTTAGGGATAGGCGGCCCTAACGGGGTTCGGCCGGGAGAACGGGTGTTCAAATAATTAGAATCAGCAATTTAATGAAAAAGTGAAACCTGGTTTATTTATATAGAAATTCGTCTCCCTGGAGGACCTGGTAGGAACCAAGATAGCCGGGAATTTTCCGCGTCCGGCGGGCCGTCCTCGTGTCCTCCGTCTGTCCTACAGCCTATCGAC